GGGCAAATAATTGGGCTGTAATTTGCTTGTCATATTAATGGCGTGTAGTTGGGAGTAGGATATCTTAATACCTAACTTCCCCAAAACTGATCAACCACCCGTTTATTGAGCATGGCCTTATATGAATGAGGTCAATCTATTTGATGCACTACATCAATACATCATGCCTCCAAGCTCCTTATTAATTTGAGTATTCAATTGGATTCCAATTTGGCTAGATAAGAGCTGGCAAAAGGTCGGGTTGTGTTGAGTTTGTGATAGGTTAAGTTAACAAGTCGACTCTTTTTAATCCAAGCTTATTTGTTTAAAAAATCAATAATGTACAACCCTAACTTAAACTATATAGGCAAAATTAGCCTCAACACTCTGACTTATTCCTTGGGTGCACCTAGCACCCCGAACTTTGACTAATAATGGGCTCACCACCAAGGCACCAACTACTGATTTGGGGTGTGATGTGTGTCATTAATTACCGCATGTCGGTGTTGCTCGGTTTGAGTGCCAAGAATACCCATTATAGTACGCGTTGTAGTACACCAAATCCCCAATCAATAATTAGTGATGTGTTAAGGGAATTTAATCTTCTTTAAAAAAAATTGAATTTAATCTACACAAATCAAAATTGAGAATTAGTTGAAATTAGTTTGCCTACAATCCTACATCGAAATAAAATTAATTAGCCTACAGTCCTACATAACGTTAGGTAATCAATGTAAACAATATAGTCATGCCCACATATAGAAGTCAGACTAGTGCAAATTTAGATTTTAAGCATTTGTTTATGTTAGGTTTTGTGAAATCCTTTATTTGTTTCTAATGTTTCGATGTGGGATAATTATATCTTGATTTATCTTTGTGTGACAATTTATTCAATTGTAAAGGTGAATAATTTTTCTAGAGAAGTGAATGAAAAATCAAGGAGAGCTAAAGGATCATCAATAGATGAAGATAGGATTTTCGTGGGACTGCAAGTCTTGGATATTAATCATATCATGTGTTGCTGCTTGAATGTACGAAAAGTGCTTAAGTTTAATTTACGGAGTAATTCGATTATGGCCGGATTGCTGGAGCATGGAACCATCTTGGTGCCTGAAACAAGAGAGCTACTGAAACATGAAGAGTCATTGGTGTCTGGACCCATCTCATTCATACCTCTGCCCACTTTATGTTATCATGTCTAAGGCACGCCAAGACGCTACTCTCAACTGTCAAAAATAGGTACTCGTACTTTTTAAGGGTTATGTGTTTTTAAGCCTTGCCCTTGTGCCCATTCCATGTGCACATGCCTCGTGCCCTTTTAAATTTTTTTCTCTGACCAAGAAGACTACTGAAAAAATTTCATTCTCTGCTTGCACTACCAGTACAATTCCTTGTCACTAAAAGGATTGTTTAACTTCAGTATATGATAAGATTATAGGAACCCTTTAAATTTCTGTAATATACTTCATATACGGAGTAGCACATCTGAGTTGATCATATCATTACCAAAACCTGCAGCCTAAATAAGCAGACATATGCCTACTGTGACAATCAGAATACCTAAAACAGTATGTTATACTTCTATTAGTAATATTCCCCATATATCAATTGTCTAACAAGAAAAAGAAGAAGAAAAACCTAACTGTAAGAAGATTGCAGATATTAGTTACTCTCCCATAAGATCCTTTGTCCTATGGATATGGTGTAGAGATGGACTGATAGCCACCTGCAGAGTTTAGAGTTTATGACTCAACAGACTCTCGTTAACTCATTTAAATCAAGTTTAGCTTTCATATAAGAGGCTCTTGCAATCACCTTATGTCTTTAACTCTGTTTAGTTTTCAGGTATGAGGCACTTGCGATCACCCTAGGTTTTGTGATGAGTGATGACCTCTACACAGGGCAGAGATGCTTTTTTCAAGGTGAAGGCAACTACGCTGCACCTGCAGGTTCAGGTATAAAATAGATACACAATCTTCTAGTAATAAAACAAAGAAAAAGCTAAAAAAAAATTCTGGATAAGTGATACGAAGTATTGACAACTGTGGATGGGAAACATAAGACAAAAACCAAAGATGGTATGCACACATTGGCCAAAAGGACTTTGTATTCAAAGTGTAACTCATGGTAATAACATTTTTTGCCATCTTTGTTGTTCTGTAGTTTTCTGTGTAGGATAATAACTATCTTTGTCAATTAAGTATGAGTTGGGCCTATTATCTTTCATCAATGAAGCTTTACCTAAGCAAGTAAGCCTTCACTTTGGCCTCCTATAGTCTATACTGAACACAGGCCTCTCTTATCTCCCCTCGTCCACCCTTCCTTTAAATAACAATTGAGTGAGGCGTTTCTTAAACAGACTAGCACCAAAAGGAACTAACAAATAGATATCCACGATCATAACAGCAATAACAATTTATACCAGACTTCAGGGCACATACTATTTGCGAGTCCTGCAGTGAAGTCATCTTAGATCCAACGTATCCTAGAAACTAATACCCATACCCAAAAATAAAAATAAAAAAATAAGAAAAAACATATTCGAGGAGCATTATAGCTCAACATGTAAAGAACCCAACACCAAAGTGTTGGCTTGTTGCTATACAACACACAGATAAAGGCCCTGAATTATCTAGTCTCTACATGCTAGAAAACCCAATTGGCACAAAACTGTACTAGTACTCCATCATCTCATTGCATCTATCCACTCAGCTTCCTTTTGATCAATATTACTCTTTATATCGTGAATGTATCAATGCACTATTACTTGTCATTTCAAATTACCAATGTACGAGAATTAACTAGCAATTCCACACTACTTATTTACATTTGCACAACATTATCATATTATTCACATCTAATACGATCATATTGCTCCATAAACCAGTAATTATACATGCATATATACAAGTATTTTCTACTCCATCTAAAAACAAAACTCAACATCCAACACAAAGTAATGTTTTCTGTTTGTTTACCTATTTGAAGTATCCTCTTTTAGCTCTGTTTAAAAGCAGCAATGAGCTGTTTTTAAGAGCTTCATTCTCTCTCCTCAATTTCATCATCTTCTGCTTCAGCAAATCCAACTGCTTGTCCGATGAAGAAAACTGTTTCGTCTTCGAAACGAGCAATTCCTTCTCCAAATCCCTAACTTTCTTACTCAATTCCTTCTTCTCTTCCTGCTCTGCGAAAATACAATCCCTCAAATCCTCAATCTCTCCTCGACTCTTCTCCTCCACATCCTTCATTCGACTCCGTAACGAAATCAGCTCATGATGCAGCTGATAAATCGTCGCTTCATCCGCCGATTTTTGGCGCGAAATCTCCCCAATTTGAACCTCCAAAACCCTAATCTCTTCCTCGTGATTTCGCTTCAATGATTCCACAGTTTTCCGATGAACTTCTGCAACTTTGAATGACTCGGTGGTTAATTTCTGCAATTCCTCTTTCAAATTGTGAGAATTTCCTTTGTGTTGTAAATGAAGCATTAGATTGTTTAGGGTTTCGAGATGAAGGTTCTTCAATCGTTCATTCTCTCTCTTCAAAGTGGAGCAGGTGAGCTCGAGAGATTGGCGATGGTTGATTTCGGCATTGAAGTTGGATTTTAGGGTTTGGATTTCATTGATGCCATTTTCGAAATCGTTGGAGATTTGATCAGCGAGGGAGAGTAACTTCTCCAATTTCTTCATCGCTAGTTGCCGCCATTTTTAATAGCACTATGGGCTTTACGGTCAACTACTACTCCTCCCTCTCTTTATTTTTGCCCCGTGCACGATTACATTATTCATGCTGCAAAAAATTGTTAGAGTCTGTCAGACAACCGTGTGACCATCCCAAGCTCACAAAGGTAGCTGGGGAACGATCATCTACGGCACCAGTAGTCCGAGAACCAAAGGTAGCTGTTAATCACGCTCTGATCACACGGTCATAATTCATCCACCAGACTTGGTTTTCTGTCTCCTTAGAACTCAAGGATACAGAGGTACGATCCTATAGAACAGATCCTGTTCAAGTAAGGTCGTATCCAATTAATGCAGCTCAAGTGTTTATAAATATGGTGTTTACTTTGTAAAAGAAAAATGTGGGAGTTATAGAGTTGAGGCTGTTGATGTTACAGAGTTAAACACATTATATTAACCAATTGAATTTACAAATAACTAATCCCTTTTACCTCGTATTGTTGTCAAGATTTCTATTATACATACTGGTTCGGCAAACCTCAAGTAGAGATAAAACAGTTTACTTTGTGACAGCAACTTCCCGACCTCAGTCCATCGCTGCACCATACTTGATACTCCTGAACATAAGATTTTGGCTTAAATATCTTATTGAGCATAATGGATATCCAGACTAAATCACTCTACCAGAGAACTGGAGACCTAAAGCAGCTTAGGAGGTCCCTTTGTGTAGTTGTGCACACTACGTTTTCGCGATTTGGCCTGCAGTGATGTTGGCCCTTCACTTGGACATGCCTACATTACTGCATGGCCTGGAAAAAACTATGAGCCAGGAGGACAAAACATATTTAGCTCAATAATCAAAGTCTAATTAAACATACAATTTAATTAATGGTGAAATTTATCAAACAGGCAAGCAATGGTAGCACAGCCCACCACAGACCCAATCACAATGAATACATTGTCTTAGGTCATCCCACTTTGATTATGCAACAGCAAGCCTGATCAGGCTTGCATGGTTGCTGATGTTAATCCCACTTTGAACACATTGTCGTAATATCATCGGAACTCAGGGATTCAGAGGACCGTTATCATTGGAACTCAGAGGCTCAGAGGTAATATTGTAAGGAACAGATCCCAGTCAAACAGGGCTCTCTGCTGGTCAGGTGATAAAATGAAAATACTTGCTCCACTGGCTAATGTGAGACTTCTCATTTGCATGGATAGTTTGGCTTAACAGAAGGTTCATCATGACAAATGAGTATCATTCTTGTAATCTATCCGATTTAATTTAACTACTAGATAAACATGATAAGAACAGTAGTGGTTCATCAAGTAACCTACTCTCGCTCTAAAAGTCACCTGTATTTTATTCAATTTGGCTTTGCAAACATATACTGTAAAAGAAAGAGAATTCTAATTGCTATTTCTGGGATTGAGCAATTTATCTAGTTATATACGAATGTCAAAATTTTAGCACGTATGTACAATGTTTTTCCTCAAAATCTACAACAAATCAACAATATACTGTTCGTAAACCAAGACAAGAAGTTTAACAGCACACTTCAACTTGATTCATCAACTCACTCAAGCTGTTTAGTCCAATTGAAAGGGTCCCAGTCACGTGCAAATGCAGCGAGAGCTTCTTTTTGAACCTCAATTGACTCATACTGACGACGACGGTACATATTTTCATCCTGGGACTGTAGCATACCCCTAATGACATTAAGACCAAAGCTGCTTTTGAACTCGGTTTCGTCATCAATTACATGTACAAATCCCCTGCTTAGCCCAAATTCTACATGGAAGTAGGGGAAGTTCTTGGGGATTGAACCACGCAGCCCTTTCTGACTTGTATCAATCAATTTCTTTGCATTGTGCTGACTCCACTCATCTTCAGCCTCGTCAATGGCCTGCAAAATTAAACCATTCCCTCGTTAATAAAATAAATACATAAATAATAAAATCAATACATCAATATCTTGCACTTTTCACTCACATATACAATGTCGCTGAACAAGCAAAAGACTGAATATGATGGTCACACATCTTTAGCAAATGGCAAGGTATAATTTTGGCTGCTAACTATGTTGGCCTGCCCAGTCAAGACAAGGTGGCATAGTAGTTCCTTGTCTCTCTCATAGAGCAGTTGAGCTCTGAGCCAGTACCAAAAGCACATACTTTAGTGTTAGGATCCTATCGATTTCTTTTCCTCCGAATAATGATGCATTGACGCCTAAACTAGCTAGAATCAAATCCGCAAAAAAAAAACCCTATTCCCCCCTCCCTCCCCCCCCCCCCCAAAATCATGCATATTTAACAGTCAAAACAGAAAAATAAAGTAACTTGTTTTCATTTTATGATACTGAAAGGAGTTTTGGGCAGCTATGTCAAAATTGGGTAAATATATGAGATATTGACGTACTTCTTTCAGGAAAGCTTAAAGAACCAATTTGAAGGAAATCACAAATAAATGATATGAAGAAAAAAATGGATAAACAAGCATTAGTGACCATAGAGGCATAGATTTGTAAGATAGTAAAACTATCCCAGAACTATTAAAGACCATTATCCTTAAACACTTAGCAGCACCACATCAGCTTGGCAAATGAACACACCCCACCATCAAAAATAAATAAGGGGAAGAGAAAAGAAATGAAAGTGTATCACATGCGCCCATTATCTGGCAGGCACCAATGCAAGGGAGCATACGATTGAGGGACACTTCTAAAATTCTAGTCATGTAAATTATATTATGCAGAATACTGACCTTTTTAAAATAAAGAGGAGCTTCTTTTGCAATGTCTTTTGGCAAAGGAATGCACTCAATTAAGCAATGGCGGCGCTGCTGTGCCAGCCAAAGCACTGTTTCCAAAAAGATCATTTCTTTGTCTTGCTTAGCAGCCATCATAATGAGGCACTTCTTGAAGTTACGGATTTCTTCCCAAACGTTATCATCTACCATTCTCGTGGCCAATTCATGCTGTTTAGATGAACACACAGATACTTAGAATAACAACAAAAACAGATCTATGATTAAAAGTTTAAAACACCACATCCAATAAATATATTTTGAAGTTATTAGCTATAACCTATAATCATGCATATAAATATTGTATAAAGCCGTTATCACTGGCAATAATATATGAAGTAATAGAACAGAAAAGGCTGGATCCAATTTTATGCAATTATATTTGTTGATAGTCAAATATCAGGAAGCTAAAAATGTCAAACTCATAGGAAAAACAATTGTACCTGTAATGTTGATATGCAACAATGGCCAGGGGCAACAGGCTGGAATTGTGGTAGCATTAGGTAAGTAAAATTAGCTATAGCCACAACAAGATGTTTAGGTCTCTTTGGGTTTTCAAAACAGAATTGGCATCGCTCCTGTTGCGTAACAATGCGCTTCGCCACATTTTGCTTAGAATGTGATCTATTCTCATTGTCTGCACCTTTCCTTTTGCTCTTCTTAGCTGGTGCTCCATCAAAGTCATATTCGTCATCAGCCTGAGTAGACAAACTATATTTCTGATTTTTCATAATTGTTTGAGCCAAATGCCTATCACCATCATCTTCTCTCCCTTTCTGTTGCAGCTGTTTCTCTTGCACAGAATATCTAATAAAATAAATAATTAATGTACTCAGTTACAACGAATCGCTTTAAGCTGATGCCACAATTCCAGACAATGTCCACAAGGGTTTAAAGGCAACTTTGCACTTCAAGTAAGAACAAGAGAGAAGAGAAATGATGTAATGTATACCTGCTCGAACTGACATCATTTCTTAGTTTCACTAATCTCTCCCCTGCATTGTGATCCACTTTATTGTTTTCAGCTTCTCTCTGGCAAACATAAAGACAGACAGCTCCAGTTAAAGCAAAGCCTTTAATGCCAAACTCTATAGCTTAGTAGCTTACAAAGGATAGCTTTACAGAGAGAATTATTGGGGAGGGAGGAGGAGTTTTTTAAGGAAAGGGGACTAGAAGGGAAGGGGAAAGAGATATAAAAAGGCAAAGACACATCAAATTTGAACAAGTTCAGAATTTCAAGAACCATCTTGCTATTTAACGCCCTATTCTTCACTTTGGACTGCTCCAACAGCATATAGATATCTTGCCTAATGTTCTTCCCAATAAACATTATAAATTTATAATAACAGATCCAAGCCAAGTAAAAGTAAATTCATTATTCTGCATGAAAAAAGAAGTACATGCGATTTTAAAGCTTCTAGGGCATTTGTCACCTTTAAATCAGATCTCCAAAGATCCTCCCAAATTTTGCTTCAGAAAACTGTGTCTATATCAAAGAAAAATATATGGGCCAAAAAAGAGAAGGATACTACTCATCAACCTCATTATAATGTCATTTTTAGATTTGCAACGATCTCAAATGCACCAACCAATGATCAGTCACCACGTGGGTTAATCACATACACGGATACACCAGACGAGCTAAGGGAGCCTTGAAGGGCAAGGGTAAAGGAGCAGCACAAGGAGCAGCAACACAAGGGGCAGGACAGCAGTCATATACAGGACAGCAGCCAAATGGTGCACATCAGACAAATGATTAGGTGAGCTCCTTTTTGACAGCCATTGGCTGAGTGTACATATAAAAGGGGGGAGAAAGGGTAGGGCTAGGTAGCTGATTAATGTGTAAGGAAATTCTAGAGACTCGTGGCCTCAAGTCACCCTTAGGAGATTAGCAGCCTCAAGCTGCCCTTGTAAGAAACTTGCTTGAATGAAAAATCTCATCTTTCTTCCCTCAAACTCACTTCTATTCTTAGTTGTTCAATAGGTTGCTGTTGATTGCTAGTGGTTCGTTACAAGATTCAGCCTATCCAAATGCCACATTATATAATACTCACATATCAGGTTATGAACCTAAACTTGTAACAGCTTGCCAACTAACCCAAATCGTCATAGTTTACCTTTTCTTTCGAATAAATAGCTTCTTTTTTTTGTTTTGGGGGGGGGGGGGGGAATACAGCAGATACACCACTGAGGTCAAAGATATATAAATGTACAAGAATCTCACCAGAAGTTTCTCAGCTTCCTCATGTTTGCCTTTCAGCCTTAGCTGCATAGCTTTAGCAGCGAGTTGATTAGCACTCAGAGGCTGCTTATCTTCACCAGATCTCTCTATTACTGAATCAGAATTTGCCTCTCGAATAGTATCAGATTTTGGGCTCGAGGCATCTTGAGAGTCTCCTTTGGCTTTTTTGTGCTGATTCATGAATTCACTCATAAAATTCCCATCATTAGAAAAGCTGTTTAGGCTAGAAAGTGCATTTGAGACCACAGCAGCATCCTCACTTCTCATTTTTTGACCTTTTTTTCTACCCCAGGATAATGAATCATGATTTTTAGGTGCTTTCATCTCCGGATGGCGGACAGACATATTCCTCACATATTCATGCCCAATATCCTGTTAAAAAAACAAAAAAAGGATGTTAAGTTATGTGAATTTTCAAATATGGGACAATTTTATTAAGCTGGACACAAGTCTATCAAGTCAAAAGCCCAAAATGCCCAAGGTATATCTATTACATAATGAATAAAACCAAAAGAATTGTTCATCTCATTATAATGTCAAGACTGTTGCAATCCAACAGTGACATGATAGATAATGTTACTGGTAATACTTCCTCAACATTAAAAACTTGCAACTGTTTTGACTTTTGTGCTTAACAAGTTAACAATGAATTTTTTTAACAAAAATTCTTTAATCAGATACAGCGTATTTGAAAAAAAAAAATAGAAAAATAAACATTGAGACTAATCCAACAACATTTTTAATGATCTCATTTGTTATTTATCCCGTTGTTTTATTAGTTGTTTCACATAGAGCTTTAACCACTAATATCTTTAATTACTTTTTAATAATTTTTAACATTATAATAATTAGAAAATACAAAGTACAAATTAGACAAATCCATTTTCATATTACACTATAATTTTATTTTACTTTTATAAGTTAGCAAAAAATCATAGTCAAAGTACAACATATGAATAGTGTACAAAGTCAAATGGAAAAACTACAAAATAATGAAGGGAGTATATATTAATTAGTAAAAAAAAAAAATTAAAAAAAAATAAATAAATAAAATTGAATCACAATATATGAATTGTGCAAAAGTCAAATTTTTACAAGCATTTGTAGTATATTACAAAATTGTCAACGCCAACTTAAGCAAGACCATATCAAACACAGTGCAGTGGTATGGCTAACACGATATATAAAGAAACTCGTATAAATTAACAACTCATATCAGACTAGGTAATTGAACTAGTCAGTGACGTGTGTAAATTAATAACTCACCTTCTCAATACCCCTTTTACTTTCATTATTTGAGTCTGATTTAGCTTCCCCACCTGCTCCCATCCTTCGAGATTTTATAGCATGCAAATGAGCACGAGGAGCAGCAGCAATATGAGATGCCACAGACACTGCTAGATGTCCAAGAGATCCCCACCTTTCTTGAACAACCTGAAACAAAGTAGTTTCCAACTTTCCATAGTTAATTTAAGGGGAAATTTTGGCTAACAATTAATATGACCCTAAAAGTTTGTGGACATGTAACACACCTCTTTAACATTTCGCCCTTCACGTGTTGCTTGCTCCTGAGCACGCTTTAAAGCCTTCATTCTCCAGCTTGCTCCACCATCCCCCACTACAGAAGATGACAAAAGTTGGTCACTGCTGGACTTTGTTTGATCTTCATCTCCAGGATAGCCACTTCCATTGTCCCTCAGATAAGGATTCAGTTCTCTGGGATTTTTTTTTGGCATCTGATGAGAAAACAGTTAAGTTAATTCTCCATGTTATAGTAGTTCTCCAGAAATATACTTCATTAATTGAATTCTCCAAAAAAATGCTTTATTGATTGACTTCTTCAAAAATATGCATATAACAAATTCAAAGGTAAAGTTAAAGGTAACGTTCAGCCAAGAAGTAAACTCCAGAATTATACGCCACAACAATGTCATGTGCACTCAAACAGCAGGAACTCTCTTACCTAAAAACATTGCAGCTTTATAATCTTAAGCCATTTGTCCATTACACTCTTAAAGTCTTTTTGAATAAATTATGTCAATGGTTTAGATTCATACTCTAACTTGCACAGTAGGGTGGGTAACTGGGTATACACTATCCTGCTAGTTAGGTAATCTACTCTGCAGCAATTTTGGTGCTTTCATGCAACTAATCTTTCGTGCGATTAATCTAAATCTACCTCAAATATTTGTAGCCTGTAGGATAATATGATTGTATGAAACCTTTTTGATGTCCCTTCATTGTCTTAAATATTTGAATTACTATTCAAACAAGGTTTCTGTAATTGATAAATGAGTTCATAGAGCTGCTAGCAAATTTTTATCATACTGTTTGTAATAGGCAATCTGACTAAATTCCCACACATAATAAGTCACTTCGTCAATGAGAAATATTAATTAATAATATCTGCTTGAAACAAAGACCATTGAAATTATGCAGACCATCAAATAACTAATTGAAGCCAGTTTCAGTGTTGATCTTTGACTTCACCAATGACATCAACCATGACTCATGAGAAATGTCGAAGGTTTAGTTTAGCCTACCTCTTCACTTCCGGACTCTAGTGGCTTCTCTTCATGCGCTGGCTGAGCACTATTGCCTGCTCTTTCAGCTGGTCTACACATCCAGTCCAACCCCATCTCTTTTCTCACAATATCAATGTTACTTGTAGAGCTAGGACCTCCAGCATCATCTTCGATTAATTTAACAAAAAAACGTTAGTTAACTTTTCAATATTCAGGCATGACAACCACAACTCTACACCAATAAGCAATCTAAAATAGCGTAAATATTTACCAGACACATCTGAGTCGTCATATTTTCGATCTTTCTCTTTACCCTTACTCCTCCGCTTCCTCCTTCCTCTACTATCATCCTCACCACTCTCAGGATCTGAATACTCATCAGAAGAGTACCACTTCTTTTTCCTAGACCTTTTCCTAATTTTCTCATGTCCTCCATCATCTGAGCTACTATATTCAGAACCCTTCTTCTTCCTCCTACTCTTTTCTTTTTTGCTACTCGATTTTCGACCGTCTTTCTTAAATTCACACGATTCTTCGAATTTCCCCTGAGACAAAAGGGCATGCGTTTTGCCAACGTAAAAATCAATCACAATTACTCTCAAAACTCACAAGTCGCAATAAGGAAGGAATTAACAGTGAAAAACAAATAAATAACAAGTATTTTACCCTATCAACCTGATCCCGTGAAATAAGCTTAACTCCTGACAGCATGTTGCTACTCTACCTGAAAATACAAAAGAGTTTCTTCAATCAACAAACGACATCTACAACAATTTCCATGATTTTATGGAATAAGCTAGGGCATATAGCTACAAGATAAATGCATGGACAATTAATCAGTCAAATGCAATAGCATCAAATTAAGAAATCAAAAATCAAAAAATTAATCAATCAAATGCAATAACATTACAATTCAGTTGGGCATTTTATCGAACAGTTTATGGGCACAACAAAAAAAAATCTATATTAAGAAATAATGGAAAGTCAAAGCTTATTACAGAATGATTGCAGTCTAAATCTCAAATATTGAATGACCTAGTTTACACTAATGATTTCTAAACCCTAATTCAGTGATTTAACCAAACAAATCACCAATTTTAAATGTGATGCATCAAATCGAAATCTTCAGAATTAGGTATCGACAAATGTCACAATTGATTGAACTATCTCGAACAAACACGAAATAGCAGTATAAATCGTGGATTAAAATGACAAAATAAAATAAAATACAATATAAAAATACCGGGAAAAAGCGAGTAAACTAAAATAGAGGGTACTGAAATTTCAAAGAAGTTGCAAATCAGGTACCGAAGTTTGAGAAGTAGCAAATAGGGTACTACTCAGGTCACCGGAGGTAATATTTCCGGTGGTGACCTCTTACAACCAGTTTCCCACAATTAAAAATAAATAAATAAATAAACTCAGTTTTCTAACTGACAGAACTACCTCGAAAAAAAAAAAGGCCATAATTTCGTTCCTTCATAGCTTCAATAAAGGATAATAAACAACAACTTGAAACACAATATCAACCAAATTTGACTCAATTAATCAAATTAGGCTCGAAAAATCACATCCGATTCATCTCGCTTAAGAATATCAACGTAAACAGTGGCGGAGCCAGGATTTTCAACTTGGGGGGACAAAAGGCTTTAACTTGACAAAAAGCTTAACAAAAAAAAAAAAAAAAAAAAAAAACTCAAACACACAAATTGGTTAACACCTAATATTAAAATTTGACTCATTTTCATTGAGTTTCGGACTTTTAAACAAGAATTGTCGAAGATCGGGTTGTTTACTAGTTGCCTTGGATTTGTTTGAATTAGGTGAATCTTTTGACATTTCCTAATTAAATTGAAAAATATATATCAATTTCCACAATCCACAATTCCACATCATTACATAATAATAAAACCTAAAATTCTAAATTTCTAATTCAACTATACATGTCAATAAATTCACAAAAACAGGAGAAAATAATGCAATCAAAAGTTCACAAAATTAACTATACATTTCATTATTTCAATAAATTCACAAAAACAGAAGAAAAAAACAAGTAATAAACCAATTAACCAACAGATTTCAATATTCAGAGATTTCAATAAGACAATAAACCACCACATTTCAAAATTTCAATACTTCAAATCTTCAATACCCAGAATAATTGAATAAAAGTATAAACTATAAAACAATTAAACAATTAATAAACTAATAATTCAGAGATTAAATTCAGATTTAAATACCGTGAATTGGGTCTAGCGATTTAGCGAAGTGCGCGAAGTCGAATGGAGAGCAGCGAGTCCAGCGACGAGCCGACGAACGGACGAAGCAGTGAATCACGAAGCAGCGACGGACTGGCAGAGGATTTTCGAACTTCGAAGAGAGAGGAAAGAGGAAAGATAGGTTACACTTTTCAGAGTTCAGTTTTCTTTTCTTCCTTCTTTCTGGCTTTTTTTTTTTTTTTTTTTCTTAAGTTGGGGGGACAGTTTATGTCCTAAATTGTGAAATTGATAGTCGATGGTTTGAAAAAGAAGAAATAAAACATTTTACCTGAAAAGCTGCTTCAATGGAGGAGAGAGAGAGAAAGCGAGGTGCAGCGTAAAATGAGAAGCTGTAAATGAGGAAAAATAATTAGAACGTAGGAGCAAGATTAATGTGTAAATTACACACATGTAGGGACTAGGGAGGTGAACAAAAATTAATACTCGTATATACTAAGACCACTTTTAATAATGGGCAAAAATAATGTTTGCCCAATATCTTTCTACCCACTTTCTCTCTCAACAAATTAGTTTTGGCGTTTTGCTTATGGGCAATTTTTTTCACAATTTCTCTCCCAATGGTAGGCAAAAATAATGTTTGCCCACCACTCTCTCTCTTACTTTTTCAATACCCCACCATTACTTTCGCTCTCCTACACAACACTTCTTTATTTATTAATTTCATTTATATTTTAACAATATTACTCCAAATAAATAAAAACTAGTCTAAATTTGTGTAACTTATTTTTTTTATTTGTGTTGTTTTTATCGGTAAAATATGTCGTTAAATTATGTACGTTAGATGAAATAATTGTAACAAAACGCTAAAAATTTCGTAAATGTTTTTATTTATTTTAAAAAGTGGTACAGTACTAAAAACCGATTACAATTGAAACGTCATGCGTAATTAAACTTATGGAATAAAATAAACAAAATAAAAAAAAAACACGACTACGTACGGAAAAGTAGGTAGGCCATAGTAGTTGGCCTTATTTAAGTCGTGCTAATTTTTCCTTAATTAGTTGGCCCGTATTGTAACCAAATATGTTCGACTAAATCACTTTTCAGAGATAGATGAGTTTCTCTACCACGGAGGGAAGATTTTCGTTGTAGAAATGAGTTAAAGTCAAAGTTGGTAGGTCGGCCTACGTTGAATTCAAACGGTGGCGTTGTAGATGTTGATGCTGTTGTTAAATCTTATTGATCTTCTTCGTAGAAGCTTCTCAGAACTTCGGCTCGAGTGTAGTTATGGCGCTCATCTTCAACAATCATGTTGTGCATAATGATACATGCTTTCATTATGTCCCGCGGTATGTCCTCATCGTACGCCAGTGACGGTTTTCGTATTATTGCAAATCGAGCTTGCAAAACACCGAAAGCTCTTTCGACGTCCTTCCGAGCAGCAGCCTAGTGGTCAGCGAACATTTTATCCTTCTGAAGTTGAGGGTGTGTGATACCCTGAATAAAAGTTGTCCACTTTGGATAAATGTCGTCGGCTAAGTAATAAGCCATGTTGTATTCATGGCCGTTAACTGTAAAATTTACCAGAGGAGCTCGGCCATCCAGAACCTCATCGAACACTGGTGAACGGTACAACACATTAAGATCATTACAAGATCCGGGAATACCAAAGAAGGAATGCCAGATCCATAAATCCTGATCCGCAACGGCTTCCAGTATTAGCGTTGCTTTCTTATTTCTACCGGCGTACTACGCTTTCCAAGCCGTTGGACAGTTCTTATTTCTACCGGCGTACTGTGCTTTTCTTTCCTCCTTTAACAAGGACCATCTCAGCTTCGGCCTCCACTTTGGATCTTTATTAAGCATTTCAACTGCGTGAGGAAAACTGAAATTGTGACCGGTGGCCAGATGAAAAAGCTTCGATGCACTTTTTACACGGTCAGCTTCGTTGTAACCACTCCCTCCCTCCAGAAGTCTACCCGCTTCATCATAGCAAGATATCCACTGTAGTGTGTCTGCTGCCAACCTTCTCCAGTGTGACAACAGACTCTTCATAGGTCTTGGCGGAAGTATATTCGGCTTCTCCGCCTGAGCCATTTGATATGCTGCGTGTACATTGCGCCATAGGTCAGCTGCTTTCTGGTTCGTACTTTTAATAGCATTTTCACTAATCTGCAAGTACAACCCAATCAGAGCTTCATCTTCCGCAACAGACCAAACACGAGTCGCTCGTGCAGCAACCTGGTTGGATTGCATTCTGGGAACTTGTGGAGGATACAGCGGCGTCTCTGGTACATTTTCCTCTTCAATGTCATCAAATTGGGTGTTGCTACCATGATCAGTTACAGGTGTACGTTCTTCATTATCATAGTTTTCTAGGGGAAATTCAGTGGGTGTCTGATGCTGTGGAGGTGGTTGCAAAGACGTATTTCCCATTCTTTGCTAGAACAATTGAAACTCGGGATTAGTTAGAAAATCATCACTAAAACCAAAAAATTGTTGACGGAAATTTGGGTTGTTCGGATCCATTAAAAGATTCTGCATCAGAAAACAAAAAATAAATATGTTTAAAAAGATTGTAATAAGACATGACATTCACAACATCATTTTAACCATTTTTTTTTAACATCTGTACATAATCTAACTTTCACAACACTTAATTTACTAATATACAACTTGCAACAATTTTAACTACATTTAAACAACAAATTAAAATGACAACAAATCAAAAAATATAATCTAATACCACTTAATTTATTAAATATACAGCATTCACGTTCAACAATATATAAACAAAACATATAATACTTAATATAATGTAACGAAATTAACCTATACAAAAATAACATATAAATATAAATTAGCATAACAAATTACTTCACATATACAAAACAACAACCCAATTTCCAAAAAATTAGCAAATAAATTCAGATTAAATTAACTTCAAAATTATTAACGTATGAAAAAAATAGCAACAACTTTCTAAATACAATTATATATATAATTGCAATTACATTACATGAACTACATTTTTTAATTTGCAAAAAAATCACATATATACCAATATTAATAAAAAAATGAATTTTACAAAAAAAAAATTAATATTTACCTGAAAATCGGTGAAATACAGCAAAAATCTTTTTCTAATTTCGAAATATTTAGAAAAATAAAGAATATGGAGGATTTTTGTTATTTATGAAATTATGCCAAAATATACTAAAATGCATGTCTATTTGTAGAGAATTAAATTTTATGATCGTTGGTATTTTTTTATTTTTTTTTAATAAATAGAATTTTCAGAAAATCAGATTTAATATATATAACAGTTGTGTAACGACTCTATTTTCTGATTGGTTAATTCGCTGTAGCCTGCCACGTGTCACTTTCCCATTCGCTGAAGCTCTGCGCGCGTCAGTCCAGAAATTCCTTTTTTTTTTTAATTCTGATTTGAGTGGGGACTACGCTTGCACTGTTCATCATAAATTATGCCCAAGACTTGGGCATTTTAACACTTGCCCACGGGCTTTGTTATTTCAGCCCACCATTGTAACTCTTATTTCTCCCTTTTTGCTCACAAATATGCCCATGAGCATATTTTTAGCCCACCATTGGTAGAGCTCTAAGGCCCTGTTCTTTTGAGCTTCTGGGCAAAGCAGAGCAGAGCAAATTTCATTATTATTATTATTATTATTAATAAGAGAGTATTTCCCGTGCTATTTGTTCTTGGAGTGCACCAGGTGGTAATTTGCAGCTTGTGAGAGATACTTTGGCAGAGGATTCTCCTACTTTATCAGTGGTTGGTGATGAGGACCTTGATTTGGAGGAGCGTAATATCAAGCAATGTCGTAGGAAGATTTGTGACGGCCATTACACTGCTGCAGTCCGGGTTCTTTCTTCTTCAGGCGTTGCTCCTTATAAGAGTTAAATACAGAATAATAAAGAGGTTGTTTAAAAACCAACAACAACAACCAAAAAAATTAAAATAAAAATTAGATCGAAAACTAATGATAAAAGGGGAAATGAAATAAAAATTAAAAATAAAAAAAATAAAAAAATATAAGAGTTAAATACTTATATGATTGAACTATTAGAGAGAAAATGGCAGAAAAGTGCATTACCTTACCTGGGTTTTGGTCAATGAGAGAGAAAATGAGTATTGAAGTTTCCATTTAGTTGCAAGTAGAGTATTGAGGTTTGGCCCAAAGCAAATAAACTCTCCAAATTTATTTTCCTTTTTTTTTTTTTTTTTTTTTTTTTTTTTTTTTTTTTTGCCAAATGGTAGTCGGTTGTAGTGTGTTAAAACCTGTTTGAGTACTATACTTGCTTCAGGCCAAATGTAGTACTTTATATGCAATAAAATGCAAACTTCAGTCCTTGTATTTTAGTTTATTCAGGAAAAAGCGTAGAAAGCTGGTAGGTAACGAAGAACAAAATCAGAGAGAAAATGACGACTCAAGATTAAAGATATAGTTTATGCAATCATAATAAGCTTGAGCAGATTGTTTGTTCAGGATTGAGTATTGAGAGATGGGAGAAACTGAGAAACGAGAATTATCAGAGGAATGAGAAACCCGAGTAAAGTAAGGCAATGTTTTAAGGTTTGATTTGTTTTATTTACACCGTAATATATATTCCCTCGTTTTTTGTTTTGTTTTTTTTTTAATTTTTTCAAGGTTGAAAACTTGAAATAGTTTGGCCATACAAACTTTTTTTTTTTTTTTTTATTATCTTTCTTTTGAGTGTTTAGAGTTTAGAGAGTCATTAATCCGGATAATGTGAATCAATTCCTAAAATAGAGGCTCTAACCATATGAGCTATTTCTCATACATTATAAAAAGCCAAAAAAAAAAGGAAGGTAGACATTTTATTTAAACATAAAGGATACTGTAGTTTTAGATATCATGTGCATGATGGTCAATGTCAAAAAGTTGAAATAAATCCACGGTGATAGAGTATATAAACAAATCATGGAGTTCAACCATCTACTTTGAAGGTTTTGATAGAGTTGAATTGCAAGGCTATAATTGCTCAGTTGGACAATACTTTAACTTTATTCACAGACTCTGATAATAGATTGGATGACAATTTTTTTTATAAGCTTCTCTTTGTGACTTTGTTGAGTGTTTTCACGTGAAAATGGGAGGGTTATTTTGTAGCTTATCATTTAGATAAATTAGTACCTTTCAGGGTAGATTAAGTATGGTAAATTGTTGCCCGTATGAAATATCCTTGTAAGCACTCATGGATAATTTGTCTTCTGATTAATATATATCTCTAGCTTTGTGTCAAAAATAAAGTTCTTTTTGTCCTTTGTAATAATTTTCTTAGAGTCAAGCATAAGTAAGGTCAGCTTGCATGATAGGACATAATTTACTCAACTTGATAGGTTAGTAGTCACTTGCACAACAACCACTCTTGCATATCAACCCATTTATAGTTGACCTAGGGCAAAAGATCTCTATATATTTTTAGTCTCATAGAAGATTTAGACAACTCGTTTGCTCATTCTATATGCCAATAAAAATGCACATTTTCATAAGAAAACTATTCAAAAAGTACTTAAAACAGTCTCCTATTTTATTTGACCAATGGCTCCCCAATAATAGTTTGACTCATAATCCCTACATTTATAATCTCAAATCTCCTTATTTGCTTCTAATTCTTTATGCACCTTATATATTAAGGTAGAAACATAATTAAAATATGAATACAAAATTGAAATTTAAGAAGAAAGTCCCGTTAATACGACACAAAATGATATTCATAGGTTTTTTTTTTAATATATAGAAGATTGTCATAACACTGCACGACCAAAAAATTAGAGTTGAGATCACAAGGTCCACAAAGGTATTGCCCTTACTAATGTAATGATCTATGTTTCCAATTCCACAACCCAAAAAAATAAAGTGAAAAGAAAAAAAAGACTCAATTCGTTCTTCTGACCTCTAAACAAGAAGTGGGAGAATAGTTGAAGCAAGGCTCGACCTTTTTAGCTAACATCACTGCGAAGTGCCTCAAACCACAAAACCCAGTTCCTAGTTCTACACTGCGATTCATTAATGGAGGATAAAGCAGTTGCTGTGATCTTGGTCGGTGGGCCCACCGAAGGTATGAATCAGATTCATCAGAAAAATCAAAACTTTCCTAATTTAATTTCATGCCCATTTGATTAATTTCTCAATTCATAGTACTCCGTAGTATATTGTGATTTCATATGTTTGAATGTATTGGGTCAATCAGGAACTACATTTCGTCCGTTATCATTCAATACTCAAAAACCCTTGTTTCCTATTGCTGGCCATCCTATGATCCACCATCAAATTTCTGCTTGCAAAACTGTATGTTATCTTATATAGTTGTTATTAATGCTGAATTTTGATGATTAATTTTTGTTAAACTTTGATTGATTGAAGGTTTATTATGTATGTAGATACCAAATTTGGTTCAAATATATCTCATTGGATTATATGAAGAGCGTGATTTTGCTTTGTATGTGTCTTCAATCTCAAATGAACTGAAAGTTCCGGTTAGGTGAGTTTCTATTTTTGTTTTCGAGTTTTCGGTTGAGCTATTCTTAGAGGAATTTGTGACTTTGAACTAATTCGAAATCATAGAAAGAGTCAAGGTTGAACATGAGATCTTTATGTGATCTCAAATTGAACTTGTGTTTGGTTTCTGTGTTATATTGTTTTCTTTGAAGCTATCATGGTTCAAGGGGTCACTTTAACTGAATTTGAGCATTTTACAATTTGTCTCAATTTAGATATTTGAAAGAAGACAAACCACATGGGTCTGCTGGTGGACTGTATCATTTTCGAGATCTGATTATGGAAGATGGGCCGGTTTGTAATCAACTTTTTACCTATATTAGTGATGGATTGTAATGATGTACATTCCTTTGAATATCGCATGAACAAATTTTGTCTAGCTTTATATTGTTGAGTAAATTTATTGGCATCCTACCATATCAACTAGATTTGAATTTAACAGAGAAGTGAGGACATTGACTCAGAATCACTGATTTCTTTTTGTTTCCTCTCATCTCATTTTGCAGTCACATATGATTCTTCTGAATTTTGATGTCTGCTGCAGTTTCCCGCTAGCAAAGATGCTTGGTAATGCACATTATAGTTCTTTAGTTAGTTTTCATGTCCGATTTGTCTGCGGTGATGTACACTGATGGGATCTTTGAAGGTACTACAACTTAAGCCATGGTTGTTTTTGTTTATTTGACTCATTCAGATGCCCACAGGAGATATGGTGGTATGGGTACATTATTAGTAATTAAGGTTGGTTACTTGCTTAAACCAGTCTTTAGAATTGCTCCATTCATTCATTCCTCGATTCACCCTTAAAAGTGACTCTTTGTGCAGGTTTCTGCTGAATCGGCCAACCTGTTTGGTGAGTTGGTTGCCGATTCTGATACAAAAGAGTTATTACACTACACAGAAAAGCCTGAGACATTTGTATGTGCCCTACTAGTGTCAATAGTTTCTGCATTGTCATTGTAGGAGTTATTATATCTTGTATTGTTTGTGTGACTGCAGGTTAGTGATTTGATAAATTGTGGCATATATGTATTTACTCCAGAAATATTTTCGGCTATCCAGGGTGTGCTTGCCAATCGGGAAGACAAAGGTTATTTCCAGTATTTGTGCAATCTTTTTCTTTAAGTATATGAGGGGCAGGAGGGCTTTATGCAACCTTTTATAGTCAATACTCCAATTTTTCTAGTCTTTTCACACTATTGATCTCCTTTTTCTTACTGGATGGGCAACAGGGTGGATGATTTCTGTTACTGTTGATTTAGTAATTTTTGACCTATTTGGACGTGGTCTTAAAACTTCCTTTACATAATAGTATGATACGACTCATACGAGTGCTAAATTACTTGTCTCAGTCATGCTTCTCTTTTGTGTAAATTGTAGAAGATGATGAAGCATCCTCTTTTATGGTTGTTAAAAACTCGACATTAACCTCATGTAGTTTTACCAAAATTTTGTTTTTCTCAGTTGACTATTGTGTTTATGTAATGCACAATGCAACAATGTGTTGAAAGTCAAAGAAAGATTCACAATGCACTGCGTCCCTCAAAGTTTGCTGCCACTCGCCAGATATGTTTATCCAGCTAGTTTTGTTCAACAAGGTCTCCAAACTTAAGAATTTATGTGAAAAGGAAGTGTCAAGTGATGTTCAAGGATTAGATATGGGAAATGAAATGAAATGAAAGACTAAAGCTTTTCCTGAGTTTTTATTTTACGCATTCAATTAAGATTTTTTCTTTTTTAAAAAAAAAAAATTCCTTTTGGTAAAAGACGATTAGATGGAAATGCATGAGTCATGGAAAATGTAAAGTATCCAGTTCATTCCTTAATTTCATTAGTGATTTTATTCTGGATTTTAATTCAGACTTTGAACTTTGAGCTGTCCTTGAGTTTTTGTGGCTTATATAGTCTTATTTACCTCTTATGCATGTCACCCAATAGCATATTGTTTTAGTAGATAATGATAGAAATCTATCCTTTAAATCTGTGAACAGGGGAGTGAAGCTATTTTTTTGTTGAGATGTCATTGCTAGTCAATATACTGTCAAGAGAGAACCTTTTGTCTGCATTTCTTTACTAAAAAATAATTTACATTCACAGGATCTTTACGTCGCCTGTCCAATTACGAGTCATTGCATTCAGCTACAAGGTATGAGCTAGCATTCGTATGACTGAGTGACATTTATATTTGAAATTATTTTGTTTACTAAATTCAACTTAGAAAAATAGCTTAGTTTATTGGGATTTCATGTTTGTTGCAGATTCCTTTTGCTAAGTTTATGATCTTCAGGCTTAATGCAGATTAACTATGAAGCTATGTTTTGAGTTAATGAAGAAATGTATTCTAATAATTGGCCTATAATTGTTCAATTTTTCCAGCCCATGAGCTGGAATGTGTTGGTTGTTTCTCTGTAATCTGACATGCTGTGGGTGTAGCTCTTGAAACCATTTGGGAGTTTTACCTTTTGTTTATCAACTGAACCTTCAGAGTTAATCTTAAGGCATTAGGATGGTTTCTTTTTTTTTAATTTAAAAAAAAAATAAAATTATCTTTGATCTTTAATCCTAAAAAAATAAATTATCTTTGATCTTTAATCCAAAAAAGAAAGCTCATGTGCTTTACCTTTCAATGTTGGTGATAGAAACCTTTATATTATATCTGTATGCACTTATTTACTTCAGAGCTATGTAGCACACTGATATCAATAAAATTCTTAAAAGGGCCCTCCCTGCAGATTTTGTAAGATTGGACCAGGACATTTTGTCTCCTTTGGCTGGAAAGAAACAATTGTATACCTATGAAACATTGGATTTCTGGGAACAAATTAAGACTCCCGGGTATGTTCTGACAAAGCTTTCTATATTAAATCATTTAAACTTGGAGCTTCACAATGCTAAATTGCAGTCATGTTTGATTGTAAACAGCATGTCCTTGAAATGTTCTGGGTTGTATCTTGCTCTATTTCAGCAGAATGCTCCCCATCTTCTGGCTAGTGGGGATGGTACAAAGAATGCTACTATTGTAGGTGATGTTTATATCCACCCATCAGCTAAAGTACATTCGACTGCTAAGGTAACAAAAACTTGTCTGATCATTACATGTGATTTGTTAGTGTATCTCGATGGATATATACTGACCTAGGGTCTTATCAGAATATATTCCTAAGTCTAAAACACATATTATATAATTTGAACTCTAAATGCTACTCTTTTTAGAAGCATATAATACATTTTCTTACTTTATTTTTTCTTTGCATAGATTGGTCCAAATGTGTCAATATCAGCTAATGTTCGCATAGGACCTGGTGTAAGGCTTGTAAACTGCATCATTTTGGATGATGTTGAGATTCAGGTACTGAATTGATGAATATAATACTTTCTACTTGTAAACACAGTACATTAATTGTAATATGGCTTGATACTTTATACCTTCTGCAGGAAAATGCACTTGTTACTCATGCTATTATTGGATGGAAGTCTTCAGTTGGGAGATGGTCACGTGTTCAGGCAAGTTTATCAGTGACCTAATTTCTTGGATTATGAAGATTATGTTTGGTTGGGACTTGGGAGGAAATTCATTTTTCAGTTAATGCAGTTTTTTCCCTTTCCTCTCGTTTGGTATGTGAAGGGCTGAAAATAGTTTTCCCAAGGGCAAAATATAATTCTATTTTGAAAAGAGAATGTAACATATTCCACACCCTATTTCTCACCCTTCTTCCTCCCCTCCCCTCAATAATTCTTTTAACTTTAATAGCGCGGAACCAAACAAAAGAAAATCGTGTTTGAAACTTTAAATTTATTGAAAATATATTTTCCATTAATATGATTTTATGTGTACCATTCACAGACTAAACTAAACTATGTATAAAGTTCTTTGATCATCACATAACTTAACATTGAATTTTTCATATAGGCTGATGGTGATTACAACTCTAAGCTTGGAGTTACAATCCTTGGTAACGACTACATCCCTTTAGTTCTTATGTCAATCTTTGGGTGTGTTTCTTACTGCACAAAAAAAAAAAAAAAAAAAAAAAAAAAAAAGAAAGATCTTAATAAACACTTCAGATTCTGAATATAGATATCTCTCAATGCAGGAGAATCTGTTAATGTAGAAGACGAAGTTGTTGTCATAAACTGCATTGTTCTTCCAAACAAGGTTCTGAACGTCAGCATGCAAGAAGAGATCATATTATAGTTACGGAAGCATTTTCTCACATGACTGAGAGTGGGCAGAAAAATGTCTGCGTTAAATGTACTTGTTTTGTAACTAGTGATAGCTGTCCGAGACGTGATGCTTTGACTGATAAAACATCTTGAGCAATACATACAGAATCTCTAATTTCTGAAATACTGGTTAAAAACAAATCTCCATGTATCTATCTTTGCAAAATAGTTTTGCAAACATGTTTTTTTTACTGTACCAATCTGATTGAACAAGTGAAATTTTATACTGTATAAAACTTGATTATATTTTTGCCCTTTGTTAGTTGTCGAATCATATCCCCCCCCCCCCCCCCCACACACACACACACAAAAAAGGAAAAACAATCAATCAGGTAACAAACTCAGAAAAATTCTTCCAAAAAAAATCACTCAGAAAGCAGTACACACTACATTATCATTGACAGTTAGCAATGCAGTGAGTGGAACATTTGAGTGCTACAAGAGATTTTTTCAGCGTCTGTCAATCTGCCAAAAAAAAGTATTGTTCCCTTGCATAATCAGTCACATCAAAAAACGATAAAATTTCTATCACCTACACTACTACTACCTCTAAATTACAGGATTTGACCATATCAACAGTATGCAAATGGTTCATTCACAAAACCGGCTTTCTTACACAAGAACTGCCAAAAAAAAGTATTGTTCCCTTGCATAATCAGTCACATCAAAAAACGATACAATTTCTATCACCTACACTACTACTACCTCTAAATTACAGGGTTTTGACCATATCAACAGTATGCAAATGATTCATTCACAAAACCGGCTTTCTTACACAAGAACCTGAAAACATACAACCACAATCATCCTAAAGATCTGTAAATGGCCGATCAAGAACTTCCTCATCTATCACTTGGACCGAGTAACCATCATTTATATGGGAACAGAATCAACCGGCAACATCAGCACATCATTTTAAGGGCATGCCCTTAGTGCTTGTGTACAAGAATGATGGACAACAATTTCGTGCTGCTATAAAGCATCTTGGTACACCCTCTTCTCTGAGACACTGATATATGGCAGATTCATTTCAAGATAGTGTCCCCAAGTAAATCGTTTCTGCATCAAAACTGCAAGATTAAAAAACCAAAGGGTTAGCCTGCTTTCATTGGTGAGGTCGCAACTCAAGTTTGTATGCCTGTATTTCCATGGGAGGGATGACAACATGCCCCTCTTGCACAACCTCTCCAGAAAGCTCAGTATAACCAAGCATCTCTGTATCATCGTGTAAGAGATTCAAAGATGCTGCTTTTACGTGCATGACGTCCAGGTCTTTGAACAAGCTATAAAGATTAACAGGTTCATCTGCTAACTTTGTGCATTGAGATCTTGCAGTTCGACAATATGATGAATCCCAACCCCGCCTCTGAAATAGTAGAACAAACCTTGGATCTTCTACAGGATGCTCCAAAAATGAATACTTTGAAGGCCGGGGAACTTTGAAGTCCACAATATGCAAATCACATGGTAAAGAAGAAGTAAGAGGGGAGAAAAATCGCGGTGGTGGTGGTTGTGGGGCAAGTTCTTGTGCTTTCTTAGCAATGAACGCATGTATGGGATAATTCAAGTGAGACCCAATACAATGGGACAGCAAGGAAGGGTTTAAAGAAAGGGCTTTCGAACTGGGATCTAAAACAGAAGAAATATTGGACTCGGGAAGGATGTGAAATACAACAGTCATTGGACGGTTGTCAGTTACTCCTTGCCCAAGACCACGTCCATCATCATTCAGCAAACGGCGATCAAGCATTATCTCCAGCCATCCATTTTTTAGGCTTGCCACACCCAGTGATTGACGTGAATGAACTGAAAATCGGCGACCATCAAGTCCTTGCATAAAAGCAAGGGAGGGCATTGGGTAATAATTTCCCTGCACAGGAATCTTATCGTATGTTTCTCTCCTGCTCATCTGAAAACCATTTAAATCAGAAAAGAAAATCTTTCTATTCTCTATATCAGTCTTGTATCTGACTATCAGCTCCTTGTCATTAAACTGATCCCCAAGAAATTCAACATGATATTCCTTCTCAATGACAAACTCCTGGATGGTATTTTCTCCATTATAAACTCGAGTACTGTGAGAGATAGGTGCTTCATCCCATTGAGTCTTTGGATAAGAATACACTTCCTGCATCAAGGGACCTGTGGTAACCACCAACTGTCCACCAGCTTCAATGAAAGGATGTGCATCACCCACAGGTTTAAACAGGTATGCACCACTTCCCTCGCTGTTATACACGCTTATCTCCTCGCCCACATTATTTAAGGAACCATCACTATTAGCAACTTTAATTAATAAGCCAAGATTTGCATTGAAAGTAAGAGTTCGATGACGATTCTGAATTACAACCACCTCTCCCTCTATTTTCGAGCAAGCATATGGTGCAGGACAAGGTAACTGATCAGAACTTGAAATTTTCAAGTCTGCCAGCTTTGCTTTCTCACACTGCCCTGCTCCATGGACAAGATAATACATTTGAAGCCCCAAAGCAGGAATAGAAGCTTTCCAGTGGACACGATGCCTCCCTGTAAATATCTGGCCCTTATCGTGCTGCATTTCAGGAGAAACCTGGCTCAAAATACAAGTCCAGTTGGAGTCTAAGACACTTACATCTGGTCTGTCAACAATTGCCATCACAACCTCATTTCTGGTTTGCTCCAGAGGATTAAAGATGACCACTGATCTTGCAGCTCCTTCTTGAACAATAATACCCTTGTGAATAGCCTGTGCGTCATACTTGGATCTCACTTGTTCTGGCTCAAATTGAGAGGGATTTTGTTCATTTTTCTCAAAGCGAATGCCCAGCAATACTTCAATAGCTTTGGACATGAAAATTTGCAAATCCTGCAAAGAGGTATGCATTCGGGTTCCATAGTCCTTGACCACATGATTCTTAGCTGTACCAGTGACTCCATCATGATGCTGAAAGAGGGCTAAATTCCTCCGTGCAGCTGTCAACTTGTGCGCATAACTAGCCGGCAACTTTTCACATTGAACTCTGTGACAACGTCCTAATAGTAGTGCCATCAACATTTCTGAGGCTCGAAGTGTATGCTCCAGAACACGATCAACAGCCTTAAAGAAAGGCCTTGAAACATAATAGCCACTCCAATAATCTTCCTGCCTATCAGCATAAGTAAAGAAGTCTCCAGATAAAGATGGAAAACCTTCAATTTCGCCAGATCCGATCTCGCCGGGAAGTGAATAATTCACTCTTTCAGCCTCCTCACGGAGGGTTCGAAAGTAATCATCCAATGTGCCAAACTTTGCCTCTGCATTCAAGCTGGGATTAGAATTAATATAATCAAATAACATTTGATAATTCCTAAACTGTGCCTCTGCTTCATCTATGCTGACATAACGGAAGTCATCTCCTAGGGGAATAAGAAGTGTGTTTGTCCTGTACAAGGTTGATTTCTTTCTGTACTGATCCAACAGCTTTCCTACTCTCTCCTGCACATTTTCCTGATTAGTCTCCACAGGATGATGACCCCAGGGACAGAGTTCATAAATGAAACCACGCATCCGAGCAAAATCAAATTGACAACATACAGCTGGCTCAGGCCCACAAGTATGGGGAACATCATACGAATAGAAGGGCATCAAATGCACAAATATATCTGTAGTTTCCAGAGCATCCCAGCTCTGACGCCATACGAATTCCAAATTTTTATGCAAGGCTAGTTCCTTTTTGAGCTCATAGTGAGTCCTTTGTATCAGCATGTTCTCAAAACCCATGCGTCGGAGAAGATATGCCATTGTAGGAGAGTATCCAAATGGATCAATTGCCCAAGCATTTCTAGGAACCACTCCAATGGTCTCATTTAGCCACATATTACCCTCAGTCATCTGATGCATAAAATTTGATCAGACAGGAGCACAAGCAATATTAAATGCAGCAATGGTACTAAATGACTATATATTGATGTATAAAATCATCATCTGGCTGACCAATAACATAAATGAGCTACTGTAAGGTCTAGACTCTAGAATCTAGAAGGGGGGAAAATAACCCACAAGGCATGGAATGGAAACAAAGATAAATACAACTTTACACGGATACATATAGTAGCCAAATCAACAAAGTGTTATGGCTTACATGAGATACACATAGACTTGACAATCACAGAAATCAGAAAAAGGGATAAAATCCAAACATAACCCTCACAGCACAGTTCCACAAGCAAATAAGTTTGTTAATGTAAGATGGTCACTATTTTAAACAAATGAATCATGACCTCTGCACAAATGCCTTTATATGTTGTCAAATATGACATGTGATCTTGGCCGTCATAACCATCAGCAAAGATTATCTTTATAAGAATTACCAATCATGAAGTTCAGAGGAACTTAGCCAGCCATGTAAGCAAGAGAAAATATCTCCATAACAGGAGTACGACTATAGAAATTACTCGGTAATTCGGAATAACATGATGGCCACTTACGGCAAGATACTTTCAGCTTGTTGAACTATGCTAAATACAGAATTGCAGACAAGTATCAGGCATTTGACCTGTGCCTCAAATGTGAATTTAGAAAGAATAGCAAAACATGAGATTAATATAAGAATTAAAGATGTTGCTTTCAGTAAAGACATATAAATAAAGCATAAATTGATTTTAAATAAAGCTAGAAGCATCGATAATAACACAGTCATCTATGGGTTGTATAAGTTGGGATCATAGAGCATAGCTACAAATACAAACATCTCGGATAATGTGAGGGAACAGGTAGCTCCTGTTCCAAACTATTGTTGTTCGCAAATATCATACATTAAGCTAAGTCTAACTTGCTAGTGCACAAAGGCCTTATTGGAGGTGTAATATAGAAGAGGATATGTAGAGATGTCCTCACCTGCTCAATGATAGCATAAAAATGTGAATTGGCCTGCACACACAGAGGAAATAGATGTTAGCTGAGTTTCAAATATATTTAGCTTTATCTATTTTCCCACTACTCACCAAAGTATCCAATAAAAGGTTGTTGTAAGTATAAAAAAATAACTTGCTACTTCATTACTTCATAAATAATCAACAACATAATTTAGTAATTGATGATAGCAACAGCTAAACAGCCTGCAATACGGTCAATGTCAAAAAAGTGTTACCTCATCATTCATTACCCAACCACCTCCGACAATTTCTAGCTGCCCATTCTTCACTAAATTTGCAAAAGATTCCCTTTTGCTCTCTGAAGAATCCCTCCACCACCTCTCCAAGTATGACATCTCCTCCCATATAAACTTGCGCCGTG